CATCAACCCAGCTACAAACCTATGAATCTACAATAGTGACCTGCCTGCAAAATTTGCTGGTGCAATAGTGGCTCAAACATTGTGGGAATAAGTAAGCAACCACTACCTGATTGAACGTAAGGCCCATTCCATGAGACAGAACCCATGCTAGTGTAATCAAAAAACTGAGACTAAATAGGCCATTGACTTAGGGAAAAATAAAGGAATATAGCAGTAAAATGACTCCTAATGACATCCTGCTATACTCATAGATCAGTGTCTTCCTCAGCCACCATCAAAGAAGCTTACTCTTGCAGTAGATGGGAACAAATAACCACAAGTGGGCAATGTGCAGAGAATAAGAGGGACTTTGGAATATTCAATCCTAAACAGGTCCATCAAAGCCCTTCCCTCTGAGCCCTTCCTTCTGGCTCAGAGAATTCTGTGGAAGGGGAGGCCAGAAGATTGGAAGAGCCAAAGGGGACAGATGGTACCCAGGAAATAAGGTCATCTAGACACAACAGGACTGATGCACATATGAACTAACAAGGACTTTGGAAAATAGCTGTAAGTCTGTACAGGTCTAAGTCAGATAGGGTCCCAGAGCCAAGAGCAGAAGTAGACACTGTCCTCATTCCTAATCTAGAAGCTATCTCCAATTGATGATCACTCACAAGGAGAAAATAAGTTTTCTCCAGTGGAGCTACACTTAAGGGTTGGCCTCAGCCCCAGCATTATATGGCCAACACAAAATGAACTCAATGGTATTTTTGAAGTTTTAGGGGCTTTCGGTTTGATTTGGGTTTCTGTTTTTCTCTCATAATGCTATGTCTGTCTGGGCTTTTTTTGTTGTTGTTGTGTTGTTTGTTTGATTTTTGATTTTTTGTTTGTTTTTTGCCTTATAAGTTTTTTCCCAATTTTGTGTTTTGATGAGTTTTCTATGTATGAATGTGATGAATGTGTGTACTTCTTATGGTTTTCCTTTGGCTCTTTTTTTGTAACATTTTCTGTTTGTTTTGTCCTATTCTGTTTTTTATTTTTATTTTATTTTATTTTATTTTAGATTGCTGTTTGTTTGCTAATGAGAGAAGGAAGAAAGACTGTGGATTTAGGTGGCTGGGGAGATGGGGATGATCTGGGGGATTAGGGAAGGGAAAACTTCCCTATGTATGATCAGAATACATTGTAGGAGAAAATCTATTTTCAATTTAAAAAAAGAAAAAAGATATTCTAGGATTCTTTGAATGGCCTTTTTTAACATAAGAGCAACAATTATCAGTGCTGAATGTATGTATTGCTATTACTAATGGAAGAGCTGGGTAAATAACCACAGACACTTTCTGAGATGTAAATATGAGCCAACATTATATTTATGCTAGAATACCTTAATTTCTCAATTCTAACCAGTAGCTTTCAGGAACCTTTTAAGGAATGTTAAGAAAACAGTGCTCTTGGTGTACCACTTTTCCCTGATGAATATCACTTTGAAAACTAGCTGTAAGTCTTTAAGGTGGTAAGAGGCAGATCAAGAAATGTGTATTAAAGGTACTCCACCCGCCAACATGGCCACTCTTCAACTGCAGAGGTGATGGTCAGCTTAGTTTTTGTAACAGGGAGGCAATTAATTCAATTGTGATAAGTAGGGTCTTCTTGGATTATATTTCTTTAAATGATTATGACAGGGACTTTGAGGATTGGCATCTCTTTCAATCATACATACTGCATGGCCATTTAACTATCTGAAAAACAGGTGTCTTAGTTATGTTTTTATAGCTGTGAGGAGATACCAAGAAAGACCAAAGCAACTTATAGAAGAAAATATTTAATTTGAAGGCTAACAGTTCTAGGGAGTTAGAGTCCATGGCCACCATGGCAGAGAGCATGACTCCAAGCAGGCAGGCATGCCACTGTACCCATATCTAAGTACTTACATTCTGGTTCACAAGCATAGAGAGAAAAAGAGCTAACTAAGAAAGACTTGCGCTGTTGAAACCTCAAAGTACACTCCCAATGGCACACCTCCTCCAACAAGTAAGTCCTCATCCTTTAATGCTTTCTTAACAGTCCCAACAACTAATGAACTACACATTCAAACATATGACCCCACAGGAGACTTTTTCATTCACATCACCATACAAGATTAGACCTCAGGCAGGCCATGTTCTATCATAGATATCTTTAGTTAGTCTGTAGAAATTAAAAGTTGTTTTAACAAGATCAGTCTGGTGTTTTGTTTTGTTTTACTAGTAATGTTTTCTATCTTTTTCTTGTTTGGAAGTGTGGATGTTGTCACAGGTCTTTTATGCAGAGTAGAAAGATGACACATATAGTAGTTTGGATGAGATGCTTCCCATATTGTTGGGCATCTGAATGGTACCAAATGGGTAACATTGCTTAGTTAGGTTTAGGATGTATGGCCTTCATGGAGGAAGTGTGTCACTGGGAGTATGGCTTGGGGTTTCAAAAGCCATAGGCTATTTTCAGTGCTTCTTGTTTGTGTTTGGATGTGAGCTGTCAGCTGTTGTCTGTGCCTTCTACTCTACCATCATAGAGACTATCATCCCTCTACATCCAAAAGCCTTCCTTTCATAAGTTACCTTGGTTCTTGGTCATAGTGTTTTATCACAGCACTAGAAAATAACTAAGACAATGCATAAACCCTTCTGGGAATCTAGACTCCTCATCAATGTAGCTTGTAGTATTTCAGTGGAGAGGAAACTCTGGACCACTGCTTCCTAATAAATATTCCTTACATATGTGTAGTAACTTTGGGATGATCTGCTTCACTCCTAACCTTCCCTTAGCAACTCAAGTGGTGAGCAAGCCCTTTTAGGAGCTACAGTTTAGTAATTTCACCTCTTGTCTCTCTCTTTGGCTAGCAAGCAACCACAACCTCTTCTGTAACACCACCTCTCCAGAGTTTAAACCTCTGGGGTGAATTTATAACTGGGCTTCCTCAATTTGTGTATTCTAATTCTGTATTAGAAAAGACAGTAAAAGGATGGCAGGAACTCAAGGTGAAAATTAGATTTTGTCTAATTCTGACTACACAGACAGGATCATCAGGCAGACAAGAGACACAGAATTTTCTGTTAAAGAAACTCCATGAAATTTCAGAGTTTGTAGCGATAGATTTATTCAAAGTCTCTCAAATAATCAATCCTGTATTTCAACATTAAGATGATTCTTTAAGTAATTAATACTAACTTCTGCAAAAAAAATTCATTGATAGTGTTAAGTGTATATTTTTGTTCAGGAAATAAAATGTCAGATTTTTGTACTCCAGATTATTTTTTATAAATCCTATAGTTATAAAAGTTATTTTAGTGCAGTAATAGAGATTTCTGGATATAGCACAATGATGATAATTTGATGCTTCAGTTTTAACATTTTCTATCCAAGAGCTTTTATAACAACCACGTCCCTTTATAGACCCTGTATAACTTATTATTATATAACTGTCATCATGATATCTGTCTTCAGTATCTCGATGAATTTATCAACTGACAATATGTAATCCTCTATTAGTAGCTTGTGCCTATTGTCTTAAACCCTAAATAGCTCAATTAATAAACTCCAAATTACCAAGTGGAGTTCTTTTGCTCATAATAGCGTTGGTAAATACTATGATTTGAATCTGAAAAGTCTCCTAAAAGCTTATGACTTGAATGCATGAACTTCTAAGTAGGTATGAGACTTTGGAGATTGGAAAATTTTAGGATGTGGGATCTTATTGGCAGAAGAAGAAATAAATCATGAAAGACCAGCCTGGGGGGGGGGTAAGATGTCATACATGAGTACAATGCATTATCCACACCTCTCTCCAGCTCCTCCCATGCCCATCAACCTTTTCTAAATTATTGTCCAATTCTTTTAATATGTGTGATACCCACTGGTTCCATTTAGTTCTACTTGAATGCACATGCTGAAGGCTGACCACAGACCATGGACAACCAACCAGGAAGCTTGTCTCTGAAGAAAACTGACTGCCTCCATCAGCAACCATTTATTGCCTCTCATTCCTCAACTAGTAGTGGAAACTTGAGTCTTAACCCCATTCCTGCTGCCATGTTGGCAGGTATGATTTTATGCAAGTCTTAGGCAGGCAACCATAACTGTTGAGAGTTTATTAGTTCAATAGCCCTCTCATGTCCAGAAGACATTATTTTGTAGTAATGGCATTTACAATATTTCTAACTTCTTCACCACAATTTTCTCTAAGTCTTGGGTGTCTACCTTGTTTTAGATATCCAAATGGGAATGGATATTCCACAGTCACTATTCTCTGCACTTGGACAAATCTTTTCTGTAATGAACTCCATCTGCTGCAAAAAGAATAATTTTTAATGTGGATGAGAACTGTACTAATCTATGGTATGTTGATAAGCATTTAGAACTTATTTGGATGTTGTACCAAATTTGCACAATGACAGCAATAGGTTCTACTCTGGGGTCTATAAATTCTCCAGCTACAGATTGTTGGCTGTGGTTACACTACCAGCTACCACAAACTTCTGTCACAGGTCTTGAGAAATTAAGCTGGTACTGTCTTTGAAGTGTCCTCCCTGAGGGCTAGCTCTCAGACTGTAGGAATTATTATGCAGGCTGAGAGGAGAGAAAGTTATCAACAGTCTACGAATGGTAAATCTTGTGAGCTACAATAATGGCTGACCAGGCAAGATATACCAATTACTGAAATAGTGGCACTAATATAAGAATAACCAACAGTTGTCTTATTCCATTTAAGGCCAGCTCAATGGCTAGTCTTCAAAATTCTCCTCAGACTCTGTTCCTGGTCTACACTGATATGAATACCCTTTGACACATATTCCTACTGCTATAGCTTGAGCTTCCTTGTTACATCTTTCCCCACAATAAAAAAGACAGAAACTCTCTGAAACTGTTAGCCAAAATAAATGTAGACAAAAGTATTCACAGCTAGGGGTATGAAAGCAGTGTTCCTACCGGAAGAAAATAGAGACTCTAGAATGAAGGCGAGAGATACTCCTTGGACAGTGGTAGAAGTATAAAATCTTTTATTTGGGCATTTCTTGCCAGGGGTGATATTCCTGAGTTCACTAATGGTCAAAGCTGATATCAAGATTAAATGCAAAGTGGAAATGAAAAATTATTCAAATATTGCAAGCAGCACTGGGCCCTCAACAACAACATTATCTTTCATACAGACCTTATTACTGTAGAGGCCAGTGTGGTTGAGGAAGCAGACAAGCATATAGCTGTGGTGGAAATGAGGATGATAAATCATCATCACATCCTCCAGTCAATGTTCCCTGTTATCCTCAACAAAGAGGGGGATTTTTGAGTAAGGCATAGCTGTCCCCTTTTATTCTAATGTGAAAGTGTGTCTGTGTGTGTGTGGGGGGGGGTTCAAATTATTTTTTCACAAGGACATAGGTGATAAAGTTGTGGCCTTTAGTTCAGTGAGAACAAAATTTACTTAAAGATGCTTTATATGTAGAAACTGGTTTTGACCACAGTGTGAGCCTTGGTCTACGCTAAGGACTATTGCTAAAGGAAACTGCTAAACAGAGATGATGTTTATCAAGCCATATTCCAAAATGGATTTCTAGTTTTGAGAAGATGTTATACAGAGGGTTTGTTGCTAAAGAGGGAGGTATCTCTGATGCATCCCTTACAACAACTATTATCAATGTTCAAGCATGAACTAAGGGAGTGCAACTGCTGCCTTTGAGGCTTGTCTCTCTGAGTGCACAAGACAAGGAAAGGGAAGGTATCCTTGATGTTTTACTCTTTTACTTTTTTGTCTTGTGACCATTTTGAGGGGCCCTCCATCCATGTAAATCCCATGTAAATCCCATGTGGAGGCTTATTCTTAGTTATGAAAACTCAGCCTTTACTTGGCTTGTTTCTTGCAAGCTTTTCTTAAATTTTCCCTGGTGGCTGACCACAGATGTCCTCCTCTCCTTGTCCTCTTGCAGCTGTTTCTATCTATTTTCTCTGCCTGCTAGCCTCGCCTATCCTTGTTTCTGCTTTGCTATTGGTTGTTCAGCTCTTTATTGGGACTATCAGGTTTTTTAGACAGACACAGTAACACAACTTCACAGAGTTAGACAAATGCAGCATAAACAAAAGCCACACACCTGAAAATGATATCCCCCAACAGGATGGGAGCTCATCTATGCTGTGCAAAGCAGCTTGTTATTGCTAATGTCAGGGCTCCATGCTCCAGTGGACTAAAGGAGAAAGCTTAGGACTCATCTCAGAATATCATCACCCGAAAAGCTACTGTACTGTCCAACCAACTTCATTCATCATTGGCAAGTTTCTTCCCAAGATACATTCTTCATACATCCTCCAGGACATTTATCCACAAGGAATGACAGGTGGGAGCTAGTCATGGGTGCGGTGGTTGCCTCTGTAATCCCGGTGCTCTGGACAGTAAGGCACAAGAGTCATTAGCTTGAAACTGAGCACAGCGTTGCTACCTTTTGGTAGTCTAGGATACATCATGAAATCCTAACTCTAAATAAATAGATAAATAACAACTAAAAATTTAGAAAGCAATCAAAAACATTGGCAACAAGATAAGCAATGCCAAGGACAGGGCACTTGTAGAGGTTACCTGTCTCCTCCCATCCTAATTAACACTTATTCTTCTTTTAAAAAACAAAGACTTAATCTCCAATAAAAAGTTTTAATTCAAAAATTACTTTAAGTACCTCAATTAAAACAACTAATAGACAATAAAGTAGCTAAATAGTTGTTGCGGGAGAAAGTAGTTCATTTATTAATTCCCCAAGATATGTTTAAATTCCTTAGAAAATTTAATTATCCATGTTATTCTATTTTTAGAAATCTTCATTGTGAATTATTCCATCACCAATGTCAGTCTCTGGCCTCATTTTAATATTTTGCTGTTCAGTATCAAAAAATGAGTAATAAAATTAGAAGATAAATTTAGTTCCCTTGAAGCAAAGAGTTAACCAAAAATCATCCAAGATGCCTATTTGTTTATGCACTTACTTAATATTTTGAAATAATACAGTTCATCTGCATTTGTAAGTACCACTTAATCACAGCAAAATTCTAATTTACCTTAAAATAAAACCTTAACAACATTAAAGTAATCTCAGGGAGCTAAATTGTTCATCATAACCCATGAATCTTTACCATTTAATTAATAGTAAGCCAATGTTTACAGTATATTTTGCAGTCACAACATTTTGCCTATCAATTCATTCCCTTGTTAAATTAGAAGTCAGTAGCACTTGTGTCTTTGAATTAAGAATGCTTGAGCTTCGATTTTGTTTTTCAAATCTGTGCAGAAGAGTTAACAATGACACTAAGAAATACTGAGATCCTTTTCAAGTTTTCTTCTTCCCCAAGGACTCCTTTCAAATAAAAGTTAGCAATCAGGGGAGATTGTACTGTGCAAATTGTTTCTGTAGGAAACATAATCAAAAAATAATAATAACAGTTACCAAAGAACTGAGTCATAAAAACAGCAAGTAATTCTACTTTTAATGAAGCCAGAGTTATCTCTTTCATGATGGAACTCCATAAGTTTTAAAATTATTCTCACTAATCTGAGATACATCAGATGAAAGAAAAAATAAACATTCTACTTTTTAAAACTAGCCATATAGCAAATCAATATACAAGAAAAAATGGTTTCCCTGGGCCAAGGAGCAATTTCATTTATATGGCATTGATCTAAAAGTGAGTTTTTAAGGTTAATCGGAAATCATTCAATACTGTATTCATTTTCTTGGTGCTGGGAATTAGCAGTACTGTTAATCACCAACTTTGACAATGCTCCACTGGAGATGGCTATTCAAGTAAGAGGTGCCCATGTAAAACAATCTTGTTTCTAATTCAAATTTTAAAAAGGTGGAATGAGAAGGGACCATTTCAGTTTCTTCTCATCTTTTCCTCTAGAGATTGGCACAGCAACATTCCACCTAAGGGATGGCTGCAGTGAAATATCTATCCAGGGAAGGAAAAATAATAAGGCAACTGTACATGGGAAACCATAATCCAAGAACAAATCAAGACATTTCTATAATAAGTGCGAGGACTACAAGTTAAGACTGATGTTTCTTTAACTAATATTATACATAATTTTAGTTTTTCCTGCTCTAGGGGCTTGGAGCATATTGGAAGAGACTTCAACTGTGTTTGCCTTAAGTGTTTATCTAGTAAAGTCTAGACAATTTAAAAAAAGAAAGAGGTGCTCAAAGAAATAATAATGCACACTCTAATTCCATTGTTATACAAAGACTTGCTTTAGAAAAACATATCACTTGAATTTTAATGTCTAAGTAGACAATGACCTAAGTTCTCAAAATCCAGTATTGATGATCATAGTTTGAACAAGAACAGCAAAAAGCAGTGATGTCTTTTGAAATGGAGGTCTATTCTGTTAGATTCACCTGACATACTTCTTCTCCATTCTTTTTCAATACATTTCTCTGTATGTATATATGCAATATATATCATCAAGGAAAGTAAAATCAAGGGATGGAGAGATGGCTTCATGGTCAAGAATGTATACTATTCTTGCCTAAGACTGAAGTCCAGTTCCCAGTAGCCATGCACAGTGCCTCAGAACCACCTGGAATCCCAGCATCCCACATCCTTTTCTGAACTCCACTGGCTCAGCATCCCACATCCTTTTCTGAACTCCACTGGTGCCTGTACTCACGTGTGCCCATTCCCACACAGATTTCCACACATACACACATAGTTAAAGATAAATCTTTTCTTTAAAAGTCAGCTGACCATGCAACTGTAGAGGTGCTACTTATCATGACTCCTGAAGTCAATGAGACTTCAGCTGTATTCTCTTTGGTGCTAAAATTTAAAGTACTTCGTGTTGCTAATATTTCTCTACTGCTTCTTGGGTCTTCTTTCCTCTTTATGACTCTTGATAAGCTATGGTGAGTGTTTTCTTTATTATTTGGTGTGTTGTACATTTTTTCTAATCACATATGATGATGATCTAACCTCAGAAACTCTGAAACAGAGCCCTAAGCTTTAATGATCTAAATGATTCAGAGACATCCTGAGAACCCGATTGTTGGAAATAACTTTGAAAGGGCAAATGGCTCAACTTTCCAAACAGATGGATTCATTGTTATCAGTCAACTGAAACAAATATTTCCTATTACATTTTCAATAACTTTAAGTAGCTTTTCTAACATTTTCCATATTGGGCTATTCTGCTTAAAAATATGTGAAACCTCAATTTTTTTACATTTCTTTTTTTCTTTTTCTTTTAAATGTAAATCCCAGTTCCCTCTCCCTCCCCTCCTCCCCTGCCTCCCATCAGTCCCCTATCTTAACCCCTTTCTGCTCCCCAGGGAGGGCGAGGCCTTCCTTGGGGGAGCTTCAAAGTCTGTCATATCATTTGGAACAGGGCCTAGACCCTCCACCATGTGTCTAGATTGAGAGACTATACCTCTATGTGTAGTGGGCTCCCAAAGTCCATTTGAGCAGTAGGTGTAAATAATGATCCACTACCAGTGGCCCAATGGATTGTCCAGACCTCCAAACTGACGTCCTCTTCCAGGGAGTCTGTAAGAGTCCTATGCTGGTCTCCTAGTTCTCAGTCTGGGGTCCATGAGCAACCCCTTGTTCAGGTCAGCTGTTTCTGTAGGATGAAACCTCAATTTTAAAAGTCTATGTATCTTAGGTAAGCATATCTCTATTGAACTACTGTATCAGCCTTACTCAAAGTTGAGTCACTCAAGGTTGAGTCCCATATATCCATAATAAATCAAATTATTAAATGAATTTATTTTATTAGTTTGTTGTGAAATAATGGGAATAAATAAAACAATAAAGTTCTTAAGTATTTAAGTTAGTTTCATCCAAGAAATCTTTGTTTTGATAACTGTAAAGAAAAAAAGAACAACTATAAATTAAAGAGAAGCCTCAGCTGATTCCACACTGACTTTGTATTAGAGGTTGTTTCAAGGTTTTTTAAAATGAGAGGAAAAAATCGCTTTTACATTTTTAGCAGCTGGATATATGCACTCTCCTGATGACAGAACACTCCCCTTGTGATAGAGAGTCACTCGCTGTGGCAGAAAAGCCAAGAGGAAGAAAAGGCTGTGTGATCTAACTACAGCCCTGAACCCAATGACTAAGAAATGAGCACGGAGATTTGAAAGAGGGTCAAATCCAGTTCTCATCATACACACTGCACCATCATTGGCGGCCTCTCATCTAGATATCCTGGCCATCGCCCACATCTCATCATACACATCACACACGCCAGCCTCCTTTGCCTAGCTATGTCTCATGTAGACATCTTGACCATCAATTCTATAAACTTTTTCTTTGCATAGCTATTCCAGTTTAGACATGAAATACTCCACGAAGATTCAGTTATAGACAATGAAAAACTGGTTTCCAAGATAGCAATACTCAGAGGTCAGCCATTCGAAAGTTATGGAGTCATGGGATTAACCTATAGAATGTATGAATCCATTGATGGGTTCAGAATGAAATTGACTACCAGGACACTGTAGAAACTGTGAAAAGTGAGGCCTGGCTGGAAGAAGTAAATCTCTGGGAATGTGTCTTTAATATATGCACATTGTCCCTTGTACTGACTGCCATCAAGTCAGTAACTCTACTGTACTTACAACCAAGACATTCTGCCTCACCAGGAGCCCTGGGTTACAGATAGGGTCTAGTGACTATGGACCAGAATCATTGAAACCATGTGCCAAAATAAATATTCCCCTATTTTTATCTCTTTTCTTAGATATTTGTAACCATTACTGAATGTTATATATACCACCACAATATCTTGGAAAATTGGATCAACATTTTAATTTTAGTCTCTGTTTTAGAATAATGGTGAATTCTTCTTTTTCTCTTTTCCCACTATTAGTAAGTTGCCAAGGCAAAGCTCAAAGTATTATCCACTTAATGGATTTCTTTCACTAAGAGACCAACTCTATTCACAGACTGAAGCTGCATATAAAAACTAGCAATTACTTTTCCAGGGATATGGTGGAAGGAAACATGACACAGGACTAGACTCTGATTTCCTTACTTTTATTTGTCTACTTACTGAATCTGCTCATATCTAACCCCTCAACTATCCTCATCTGAATGCTGCAATATTACATATCTACATGTTGAGTGCTACGGGCACACCAAATAGTTAAACACAAGTTCATCACAGACATAATTCCTTGACGAGGAACAAACCAGGATCTGAGTTAAAATTATTTAGAAATAATTTTTGAAGGAGGGTTGAGCTTACTTCGTACTTGCAGGGAATGATTATAAAAAAAAAGACTGCTATAGAACACTATGGGGAGTAAAGGAAAACTCGGTCAAACCAAGCTTTAGGAGAACAGTTGTTTTGGGGAAAATCTTTTCTTTGGAAAAACTATACAGGAAGCAGAGGGGGGAAATAAGAGCAACTGTACAAGGACTCAAAACAGAGCAGAAAAAATAAACAAGGAAGAAAAAAATTAGAGCCTTTTATTACCTAATGAAACGTAATGGGAGGCATGTACTGAGTGATGTTTTCTGGTCTTGTATTGGGTCACACCATATTCTATTCCATTTCCTAAGCACAACAAACCAATTTTAACTAGTTTTCCAATAATCTCAAATCCATGACAGATTACAGATCCACCCACTCACTCTGAAGTCCACACTGCCCTAACAAAGTGATTTTCTCATCTATTTGTGCCATCTCCAAGACCTTACTTGTGTCTGGGGTATATTTCACTCATAAAAGACATTCTTTAAGAACCGTTAGTTACACTCATGTTATCTAGGAAAGTCTACCAACTCTTAATTTCAAGAGAAATCTAGAGATCTCAATAAGGTAGTTACTAAAATAGTGACTGGATCTTATCCCTCACCTCCTCCAGGTAAAGAAAACTGCAGGGTGGAAAGTTGACATGGAAAGCATTGGTGTATAAGTCAGAAAAGGAGTTCATTAAAGTTAACAACTTCTCCAGCTGTTCCTTGCAACCATGGCCTTTAAGTAGGTCAACATATGTCAATGATAAAGTTCAAGTTAGTGTGAAGAAAACAGAGGGGAAATGTTCCAGACTGTGAAAACACTATGCAATGAAAATATTTCTTGCTGATTAATCTACAAAAATAGAAGCCTTTTGGGGAGCTGATTTTAATCAGTTCATAAAGTAAAATACTGTTGTGTGAAACTTCCTAAATTATGTTTCTGCCAAAAACATTGTAATTATTTTTTTCAATCCCATTTATTTTCAGTTTCCTAAAGAGTAATCAATTTACTTAGTTGATATAGTAGATTTATAAATACAGTGCACATAATAAGTATTATCAAAGTATTTGTTTCATTATTAGGCATGGAACTTAATTAAAATTAAATCTCCAAAATATGAACTATTTTTCGGCTGTTATATTGACCAAGTAATGATGAATGGATATGTTGGTTGGAATTATGTCAACTTGACACAAGCTCGAGTCTTTTGGGAAGAAAGACTCTCAAATTAGAACATGCTTATAAGATTCACCTATGGGCAAGTTCGTAGTACATTTCTGATTATTTATGTGGGAGGGCCCAGCTCACTGGGGGTGGTAACACCCCTAGGCTAGTGTCCTCAGTGGTATAAGAAAGCAGGCTGACTGAGCAGGCCATGGAGAGCAAGTCTGTCGTGGGAGCTTTATACACTGTTTGAAGATATATTGCTGTGATGGATTTAATAAAGAGCTGAACAGCAAATAGCAAGGCAGGAATTACATGAAGAACTTCCAGACAAAGAAAATAAGTAGGAGGAGACAATATAAGCATACTGAAGAATGGAGGAGACAGGATGGGTGATATGTGACAGAACATAGATTGATAGAAATGGGTTGATTTAAGTTATAAGAGCTAGTTAAAAACAAGTCTTAGCTAAGGCCAAGCTTTCAAAATTAATAATAAGTCTCCATGCTTTTATTTGTGAGCTGGCATCCCAAAGAAAAATCCATCTATTCAATTAAGTAAGCAGCACTCCTCTGTGTTCTCTGATTCAGTTTCTTCCTCCAGGCTCCTGTCCTGCTTGAGTTCCTGACCTGAGCTTACTCAGTGGTGGACTATTACCTGGAAGTGTAAGATAAAATAAACTCTTTCCACTCGTTCCATAATTAAAAGTTGCTTTTAATCATGGTGTTTTATCACATCAATAGAAATCGTGAGACACCAGGCAGTGGTGGTATATGTCTTTTATCTCAGCACTTGGGAGGCAGAGGTAGGCGGATCTTTGTGAGTGTAAAGCCAGAGTAGTCTACAGAGCTAGTTCCAAGACAGCCAAAGCTACACAGAGAGACCCTATCTAAAAAGAAAAGAAAGAAAGAAAGAAAGAAAGAAAGAAAGAAAGAAAGAAAGA